ATCTAGTTAAAGGTCCCTGCTCATGGCCTGGAGGTTGGACTAGATGACCTTTAAAGGTCCCTTCCAACCCAAACTATTCTATGATTCTTTGCATTTCACCCCACACCATGGGACCCCCAGCAGCCTGCACCTGTCCCCGCCTGGGCAACCCCCCAGCCATGTCTTTGTTGGACTCCCACCTCCTCGCCCACTCAGGGTTGCTTTCTTGTCTGAACTTCCTCTGCCCCCGCTGCTCTTTTTCCTTCTCTATTTTACTTTCACAGGGTATTTCTCTCCTGTACAGGATTTCAAGCACCTCATCCCCTTCCCTCCCCACCTCCCTCCTGCCCAGTGCCTGCTGTCTGGCTGTGCAGAGTGGATGGCGCGGGACACCTCCGCGCTTGTTTGGGGCGACGCTTCCCGCTTCCCCCAGAAGAAGCACCCGTGCCAGGACCAGGGTGTGCCAGAGACCTGCACATGGCACAGAGGATGCGGAAGATGGAGGAGGGGAAAGGGCATTTCACCCAAGTTTGGGGGCTTCCGGGCATCGGGAGCTCAAGGAGACCAAACCCTGACAGGGGCAGGAGAGTAGCCCAGCCCAGAGATCAATCCGGCATTCCAATGTCTGCTGCAGCCTCCCCGCACCCAGAAATGTGAGGTCTCAAGGGATTGTGGTGAAATGCTCTGTGCAATAGCAGCACCCGAAACAGAAGCCTGAGCTGCAGGTGCAGCTCTTCAACAAACAAGAGACTGCTGGAAGGGGCCCACAGCACCACATGGAGCTGAGACACCCCCCTGCCACCCTCGGGCTCCCTGCAGGAGGAAGGCACCTTTGGGGGAACACCAACACCCCAGGCCTGGCTGGGCACCCCGGCCCCACTTCTGCTTGGGTGCCCCAGCCCCTGTGCTGGAGCCAGTGGGGCATGAAGCCCCGAGCTGGAGGCAGGAACAGAGAGAGTGGGCAGGGAAAGGCACCTTTGGGTGCTGTGCGGTGCGGGGAGGCTTTGATGCTGGGGATCATTGCCCCCATGCAGGAGACAGTGGCCTGGCCCTGCCTCCCCTGAGGAACCTGTGGGGTCCTCTGACAGGGGGGTGAGAGCGGTTGGGGTGAGCCAGGGCTCCCACTTACCCTCTGGGTCTGCCCACATCTCAGGGAGGAGGAGGGCGAGAAAGAGGAAGAGGAGGAGGTGAGGGGGTTGCATGGTGCACGCGGCAAGACCGAAGCAGCAGCAGCAGTGACTGTGGGAGGAGGAAGTACCCCTGGGGTCCCACGCTTCAACCCAGCCCAGCAGTCATGACGGTGGCTCTCCGCCAATGGGACCAGTGCACACACGTCAGGGAGGGCCCCAGAGGTCCCGAGCTGGGGGTTGGGGACAAGTGGGAGGGAGGAAAGCCGAAATAAGGTCTTGAGCACGAAGTGCTGCAACTGGCTGGGGC